CAAATAGAATATTGATTAGATGCGCTAGAGCGTCAGTGGCACTCACGAAGACAGGTTGAGTCTGTGTGCCACTGACGCTCCAGAGCGTCGGAAAGAAAAACGCTCTCTAAACAGGAAAATAATATGTTTCTTCGTTTTTCTGGTTTTCCTAGTAAAATATAAGGAACATTAAAACCGTGTTTTGTAATCCGGCTTCTGAGGATGGAAATATCATTTTTAGTGGCAGCGAATGTGTTAAGCAAAAGAACGCAGCTGGATTTAGGAGAGGCGAGGGGCATTCATTTAGAATATTTAATATTTTACAATAGAATTTATTTGATCTCATTTATGAATTTGGAAATTAAAAATTACCAAGAATAAAAATATGTTATATTTGATAAATGCTTTAAGATAATTATTAATTTATTGTTAAGTTAATGGGTAGCACTGGATGCAATGTTGTAAGAGATGTTAAGAATATTAATATTAATTTTAATCAATGCATATTGTACTAATAGCTCCGTAACAATAGGAAAGAGGTCTTTGTAATTTTTTCTATATTTATTACCATAACTTTGAAAATATTAGCAATAATCTGAAACTTATCTGCTTTTTAGAATTTAGCTATGTTCTTACCAACATAATTTCATGCATATAAATATATAATAAAAATAATTAAGTTACTGAGAAGAGCAAATGCTAACCCCTGTGGCAGAATTCTAACGCTTATATCTTTCTGCCAGATACTTTTAATAATAACAAACATATATGTTACTAATTTAAAATAACAAAAGCGCTGTGTTTAAAAAAAAAACATAATTTATTTTAATTGAACATGTAATAATTTTTTATTCTAATATTATGGGTGATATTCTCGCATATTGTTGGGGGGATGCACACATTATTTTCGTCGCAATTTGTAAATAATCACCACAGTAAAAAAATAATTAGAAATGATGAAATCATAGTAGTAATTGCCGAAAAATCGATTGACGACGAAATTACGCAAATCGGGCTCCTCCAATGTGTGTGTCATTTCGAGATTAGGACGTTGTAATAAAAAATATCAGATTTAAAAACTTTAGAGCAATCAATAGCAATAGTTGCCAAAAATTCGATAGACTTATTGCCTTAAAAAGTAAATACTCAAATGCATGATTCAAACAATTTTCCATATTGTTTGAAATAATCGGGATATTTAAAATTCACGTGAAAATCAATCGAAACATTGCATCGATTTGCAATACTCTGCGTAAATTGAGCTCATCAAAAGGTGATTATCTAAATGCATGATTAAAATATTATAAGTAAATTTCTGTAGAAAATAAAAGTTTTTTTTTTTCTTTTCAAAAGAAAAGTCTTTCTGCAAGAGCTCTGTAACGTTCTGCGACGATGTCGCCGTGTCGCTGCAATTCTGCCACACGGATACTAACTAGTCCATTTTTTCCTCCTTCTAAATTGTACAAACTTTTTAGGTACATAAAAATAATATTACTTTGTTTATTAAGGGACTTTAAGTGTTTTTTTTTTTTTTTTTTGAGTTTCTGATGAATTGTGATAGTAAAAAATATTTTCACTTTACTAATAACTTAAAATAACTCTACATTAATAGTCTCTCTATTTTTTTTAATCAATATTTTAAGTAAATTTTTTAATTTTTAGATAAGTGTTATTGTGTTAATACAGTAAATAATGTTTTTGTACTACATAATATTATTTTGTTGAAAAACTTAGTTTTTTAATGACAATACTCAGTTACGTCACATAGCCGAAAATGTTTGGTCGATATTTGTGTGTGTAGGAAGTCTTTGGTTTTATAAAATTCTACTAAAGAGTTCTGCAGGGTACATAATTTCAACAAAATTTATCTTAAATGTGAGCAATAAAATGAGAAAAAATCTCTAAGTTGTGTTTTAATTTGAAGTGTAGAAAAATTTCTTCATAAAAATTGCAATAAGAGTAGTGTTATGTTGATAGATAAACAATCTAAATTCTAATTTAGAAAAGTCAACCTACGCTTTCTATTTTTGATATAGAAAGATCATATAAAAATGACATTGAATACAATTTTAGATAAAATACAATATACAAATAATTAGTATTATTTCTATAGGCAATATTAAATAGTAATTTATACCGAGGTAGCACTATGTGTGTAGTTCTATTTTCAACTTTTGAACAAATATTTGCACCAAACATCTTTAGCTTCAAACTTAGCAATTTCATCTCAACTTCTATAGATTCTCTGAACGCTTCATTGTGTTTTCCTTTAATAAATATCCTAAAATAAAAACATATTAAAATATCTATAACTTATGCCCAAAATTCATTTGAAACAAATATTTAACGGTTTAAATATAATTAATTAATAATATAATATAATTAATTTAAATATAACAAATATTAAAACGGTTTATCAAAAAATATGTTTTAATCTACTATAACTGCTTCTGTTTCTAATGTTTTATCTGTATCTTCAATACAGATATATTGTAAGAATACATAATTTACTAATGTACAATGCACAAAATAAAAAAAAGCTAGAACCCTTAAGATTGTGTCCTAGAACGTGAAAATCTGATGATTTGATTAAAAGTTATTCTAAGAGGTCCGTTTTTTATTTATTGCACTGTACAACCATACACTATATTCATCAAAAATATTCACAGATTAATATCAAATGACAAAATTCAACTTCAATATTACATTTAATCCAATTTTCATTTACCTTTTATTCATCAGCTATCCATTAACAATATATATTAATCATAATTGCACAATGCGCAAAAACAAACATAATTACACTGAATAACTTTTATTTTAATGATCGGATCTTCTCATTTTAGAACTCAATATTAATGGTGCATGAGGGTAACTCCAAATATGCTCAGTAGTGCAGACGATATTTTAAGTTATGAAATCAGACACAAAATGTACTTCCACTAAATAAACATACTTTTTTTTCGTCGGATTCGGATTTCAACTTAAAATATTGTCTGAGTCATGGTGGCTCAGTGATTAAGGCACTGTACTGTCATTGTTAAGAACTGTGGTCCAATCCCCAGTGATGGCTTGAAGCCCACTCAGCTTCAGATCAATGGCTACCAACTTGTATATGAAATAAACATGGCCTGTGGGCAGTGCTGACCACATTGCCACATTCATGTCGTTGGTTACGAAATTGTGGAACCTTTAACTTCGATGACCCCCTCGCCCACAACAGGCTGCTGCTGGAATGCTTACTTTTTAAAATATTCTCTGCACTAATTTATTAACATATTTGAAGTTCTTATTTTCATATTTTGATTTAAAACTCCATTTAAAATTTTAAGCAGAGTAGAAGAGTTAAAATAAGTAATCTCAAATAATAAATCTTATATCAAGGCCAACTCTAGCCTTTTTCAGTGTTGACCTTTATCTGACACACTAAACTCTGGTTTAAGCTAAAACACGTTGATAGATCTTGAGCTCAACGGCTTGAATTGATAGTCCCAGACACTGTACTTACAAAAAAGTGCCCAAACTCCCTAGTGCGAAGTCTATTGATTTATTTATATACTTTGCAAGGAAATACTTCTTTTAAAATATAGGAAAATTCATTTATTTTATTACACACACTTATATATATTTGCATTAACTACTTTTTAATAATCATTTTGAAATATGAACAGAAAATATGTCTAATCCTCACAACATAATATATGAAAAATAAAATTACCAACAGCCTCTGAATAAACCGCAAGGCAATGAATCTGGAAAGTAATTTTTCTCTAGTTCAACAATTTTTTGATTTGTCATATCCTGTGCTAACCATTCCTGTAAAAGATTTGGGATAAATAAAAATTTCCATATAATAAACAAACAAATTCCATCCACATAAATAATTAAGTTTTGAGAAGTAAAATATTATTATAATAAGTAAATATAATTTTATATGTACTGGTTATAACAATATTTTACTCTTTCAAAATAACTATATTGGTTACATAATTACAACATATTAACTTTGTATATTATCATAACAATACTCCCTTAAAATACAGGTGCTATTATATGGTAAGAATCATTATGCTGTTAACCTTTTATTTAATAGGATTAATTTTTTAAGAAATTATTTAAAAAAAATTTAGACGTATGAAAATGTGGTGTAAAGGGGATATTCTGACCAATTTTTATACAAAAATTATCTATTCTGACATTAATAAAAATTTTATTGAAATAAGGTGTATATAAATGATTAAAATGAATACAAATCATTCGAAAATACTATTAGCAAATAGTTCAATCTTGAAGAAAGGAAAAACAGCTATAACAACAATTATATAAAAACGAATTCAAATTAAAATACAAAAAATTTTTCTTTTTAAAAAATGATGGATATAAAATTACTTCTTCTGAAATACTTGAAAAAATCCTTTTCAAAGAATTTTCGGAAACATCTTCAGTAAAGTTATCACCATACTTGTCATAAAATTGTCCTAATTTTTCACAAGTTTCTTGTTTAGCATGATAGAGATCATCAGGCTTCCTAATTAACAAAACAAAAAAAATTTCGCAAATTTAGAAATAACAGACAGGAATTAAATGTGAAAAATCAACTGAAAAAGAATTACTTAATAACAAACATTAAATTGTGATAACCTTAAATAATATAGTCGAAACTCTATCCCCTTTCGTTTTTCCGAGTGAATTGATTTTGGAAGTTAGCAGATTCCCCCATTTATTGGTCTGCAATTGTACCCACTTTTAAAAAATGAGCTTCAAATAGCAAGTTTAATATTTTTGAATCAGTTTATGAAAATATCAAAACTTGTAATGTTGTGGGTTCAAGAAGTTCACTTTTCTGCGTTTATTGCCTTGTTTTACCAGTCTCATCACAAATGTTATTCTTATAATGTTATAATAATTCCCATTTAAATTGATTTTAGAAGTTAGCAGATTCCCCCATGTATCGGTCTGATATTCTACCAAATTTTAAAGACATTGTTCTATCAAAAAGACACTGTTCAAATTGTTCTATTCAACAATTTCACAAATTCAACTCCAATCTATTTCAACGTACCGTCGGTCCGTGGCATATCAAAGCGCCATTCATTTTACATGATTCACAATTTCGTGATTTTTGACAATTGTCAGAAACTTGCCAACTCTGCCTAGTTATGATATTTTTTTAAAGTGCTTAAAAATATTTTTGAGCGCTTAAAAGGTGCTTATTTTTCATTTAAAAATTTGGCTATGCACCCTGGAAATGAATGTGTCCAATCTAGAATTTCTAAATATTTTAAATAAATGAATTTATTCATCTTTTGTATGTACCGTAAAGTATTTTTGCGGCAAATACATAATGGTTTCCATAAAACACTTTTATACTTATGAAAATTTCGAGTTTATTATTTTTGTTGTTACTTTCCATACTTTTTCAAGTCATTTATGATATTTTATGCACACTTGGGTTTGTCTTTTTCCCGTATTTTTCATTTTCAATAAATGGTTCCATGAAAAACGATTGATTGAAATTTTACTGTATTAGGTATTACTGTAGTATTGTACTCTAAAAACACAAAATAAAAAAGCTTTATGACAAAAAATAATCACCACTGCAAAAGTAATCCTTCCATATAACAATTTTCAATCCATTCTTCTTTAACAACATCATATATTCCTTTATTAATCAGATTTTTTACTTTAGCTGTGATTTTATCACAAATGATGCAAAATGTACCATTTCCTAAAATATCAAATAAATATTAATTTTCTTGAATGCATATAAAATGTAAGAGAGAGAAAATTCAGTGTTGGTATTGTCATTGGATAGCTGGTGTATGGAACATTTCGAAGCAGAAATATTTAAATTTAAAGTGCAAATGGGAGAAATAGCCTAATTTGTAAGAGTTTAGAACTTGATTTAAAATTGTGCTTAATATTTTAGCATTTATGTAAACTTTACACTACTTCAAGCATTTTGACTCTGGGTAAAATGGTAATGAATGCAAAAAATACAGATGTGACAAGATGTAGACTCAGGAAATTTTTAACATTCTTAGGACATTATGCTTTGCCGAAAAACAGTGAAACCAACCACAAAGGAAAAATAAAGAAATTCATACACTTTTTAGTCATCACCCAATTTACAAACAAAGTCATGGTATCCGCGCACCTGGAAAGTCATGAGTTTCAGAATTAAACAAAATTTGTCATGAAATGTCATAATTTTAACTATTTATTAAAAAAAAAAATCATAAAAAGTCACGGAATTAGGTCGCCGAAAAATCTTATTTTAAAAATGGAATGTACCCCCTCCCCCAATTTCATGGTGTTGCGAATATCTGAATTTGTAACAAAATCCCCACTCACAGTCATATTTGATTAAAATGTAAAATGTTTTTATCATGCTCTTTAAAAATTATGGTGTTCTTACAAGAAATGAAAAAAAAAAAAAACATTTCTAGAGCATATTATCTTTTAAACTTCTGTAATTTCAGAATTTATGGTATTTATTTTTTATTTTATCAATTTAAAATTTAGCAAGTCATTAGCAAATTTTTTTATTCCGAAATGAGAACAAAAAAATCAGGAGTATTTCTTTCCTTTCTGATGAGCAAAAAAAGTATCTTTAGAATGTAATTCTACAGATGAAAAGAAAAAAAAAAATATTTGCTTTTGTATTTTTTTCAGCTACTTTATTGCTTCAACTCTTTCTTTACTCTGTTTTTCAAATTATTTTGTAGGAAAACCACCAGCATGCCATATTAAAAATGAGTAAAGGAAGACCTAAAATACTAAGAAGTTTTATACTAAGAATTGGAAGGGAAAAAAATTAAATACACATCAAAGGGCAAATAAATAATTTTTAATTGAATGAATCTAAATTAAGAAATCCTACAAATTAAATAATTTAATTTAGAAAAAACAATAATCAGGAATGAGATTAGCCAAAAGGCAAAAAAGCTGAATTTCCAGGATAGTAAATTTTACGCAAGCGCAACCCTTTAATAATAAATTCCAGACAGTTTAAGTTAATAAATAATGTGTTGACATACAATTGTGTACTAATCTATTATTATATAAATGATTAGATTGATACTTAACATTTAGAGAAAATAAAAATTGCCAATTGGAAAAAAAAAAGCTGAAAATTATATTTTTCCTCAGTTCATATAAGAGACAATTATTACTTGAAAAACTACCTGGTTTAGCAAATTAAAACTACTGAGAATATACATTAATATTTCATTTCTTTTAATAAATACTGTTATGTGATTTATAGCAAATATATCAGCAATATTACTTTTTAAATTATATTGGGAAAAAAAACTTTAACAATGCACCGAATCATTATGTTCATATTATAGTCTAATCTAACTAGAGCCCTTTGAAACATATCAAGAACAGTGAAGTAGAAATATATAGTAACTCCTTAACATACAAAAATTGCTATTTTAGTTTGAAAAATTACATGACAATCAGCAACTGTTTAGATAATTGTTTTTTATTTAAGAATTTAGCATTTTATAGCATAAATAACAGCAATTATAATTAAAATTTTGATGATGAGTTAACTCTTTTTCCAAAAAAAAAAAAATTTATTAAATCCCTTTTTAAGTGATTGCTTTTGTTTGCTATATCTTTTATGTTTGCTATATTTAGTCGTTAGTCCATCTTCAAACATCTTGTGACAAATCCTATTATTTCTTCTTTGCAAGCACAGAATGTAAGTTTTGAATATATTTCCTTCCGGTTTCTCTGATGATGTAACACTTATATATATTAATAATCGTTGTTAGAAAAACAGTCACCTTTATAGTAACTAATTTAAAAAATTTTTTACTTCTTACAAGAATCGCGATAGTTGATCTTAAAATTGCGTGAATATGAATAACAATGACAATGATTGATTTTGAAATCACATGAATATCAAACTAGATATACGATTTTGAAAATGAGAAAATACAAACTGGGATATAGAATTTTTAAAATGCGTAAATACAAATCATGATGCATAATTTTTAGATTGCATAAATAAGAATTATGATGCATAATTTTTAGAACGTGTGAATGTGAATCCCAATGCCCGATTTTAAAATCACGTATAAATACAAAAATCAATGTTTGATATTATAAACCGAATTTTAAACTTGCGTGAATATGAATCGCTACATAGGTTTTTAAAAAGGCGCAAACACGAATCACAATATTGGATTTCTAAGTCTCGTAAATAAGAATCGCAAAGTACAATATTCAAATTGCGTGAATAAGAATTGTAACACGTAAATATGAAAAACTATGTTTGATAATAAAATCGTGTGAATAAGAATCGAGTTATTAGCAGATTCCAGGCTTGGGACCTCTAAAAGGCTTGTCAGAAGCAGCGCCGTTTGAACTACAAAAATCGGATCTATCTGGAGGGCAGGAAAAAAATTCGGAAAATCTTATCTGCTGCGAGTAAAAAGGGAGAAAATAGCTAAAATAAGTAAAAATGAGAAAGGATTGGTAGCTCTGTAGTTTGAATTTTCTGTTTTTTCTGAAAAAGCGGAATACTTATTTTAAAGAAGTGAAATTTTTAGAAAAATCTGAATTTTTGATAAAAAAGCTGAAATTCAAGAGATAAAAAAAAAAGCGGAAAAAATCTTATCCCTGAATAATGTATAAAAACATTCCGAAAATATATTTTTTATTTGAAAAAAAAATTATATTTGTTAAATTTCTTAAAGCAATCTTACCAGGATTTTGCACCAGCTTTCCCCCACTTTGAGCTATTTTCTTTTCAACTTCTTGTTTCTTTTCAAGAGAGGAGAAAATAACGCACATTTCTTTGTTCTTAAAAATATCTGTAACCTGCATAATACAACAGTAAATACACAAGTAAAAATCAGTGCAAAACGTCAATCTAAAAAAGTTTATAAACATTATATACAGTAGGGAACCGATTATCCGGAACGATCGGAACCATCGCTATTCCGGATAACTGATTTTTCCGGTTTTCTGAATCGCTACAAAAAGCCGTTTTTTTNATATTTAAAGAGCAAAATAATGTCTTGCCACCTTCACTGCTTCATCTTGAGTTTTGCACCTTAATTACACACATGATGAATTAAAATTAACAGCATTGCATATTTAAAGTGCAAAATAATAATGTCTAGCCACCTTCACTGCTTCATCTTGAGTTTTGCATCTTAATTGCACACATGATGAATTAAAATTGCATATTTAAAGTGCAAATTAGAGGTACTTATAATATACATTACACTAACCTAAAAACACGCTCACCGAGTAAATTTTGCTGCTTGAATAAACTATTATATTTTGTTGCTAATAAATAAACTATTAATATTTTCATTGAAAAGAATATTCTTTAAACTAATTGGGCATTAATGTTTTTTCAAAACATATATAATCAACATCCTGGAAATTTAGAGATTGAATTTAATTTAGTGGGGCAGATAAATATGAACCAAAATTTTAGTTTAAAAACACCCATAAGAATTGGAGTCATCTTATACATGTACAAAAGGAAGTGATCTTAATATATAAACCAAACTTTAAAAAGGTTGTTTAAAACACTATGTAGATTAAGAGGCAAAATCCATTAGAAATTTATTGACTTATTTTACAGTAAGAAATGTGAGATATCTTTTATCACACTGCCCCTAAAAAGGTAAAAATGGAGACCTTATTTAAAGTATCAGTAAACAAGCTAATAAACAGATTTGTGAGATTATATTATGCATGCATTTTAGAAATTAATAAAATATTTTAAAGATTTTGTCATAAGAATGGTAATTACATTAAACATACAAAATAAATAATTTACAAAATTTTTTTAAGTTAACTGGAAAAAAATGTATTTACCTGTTGTACATTACTGATATCAGTAGGCCTAAAATGTGGTGCAATACTAACAATACGCTCTTTTTGCATTTTTTGCTTCTTAGGAGAAGGTTCTTCTTCTGCCTCTGTCACAGTGCTTCGTCTGGTTGCTAACCGACCTTGTGCAAGCTAAAAAAAGTGTAAAGAATTATTCAACTTGAAAAAAGACAATGATTAGTAAAAAATATAGAACCAGAACTATTGTTACATTTCTAAGATCTTCCAATTCCCTCATTGTCATGCAATCACGCCATGACTTATCATAACGAATCTTTTCTACCCTGGGAAAGCGCAAAGTACAATTTGTTGCAAAGCTTTTGCTGCCATTTATTTCTGAAGCTTTTACCTGAAATGCCAATTTTAGAGAAACTTCTTGAAATAATGATATTAACACAAAGTTTTAATTAAACAATATTAAATACTAAGTAAATTTAAAACTATTAATATAAATATAAAAAACTGACTTAGATGAAAAAGAAAAAAAAACTGATCAATCTATTACTTAAAGCATTTTATAACTTTGCAAAAATTAATAAGTGAATGATCTTCTGATCAACCACATTAAAAAATCAAAATTGTCAGTACTGGAATTTAATCTATGAATCAGTCTATAGTATTAATTCAAACTAGTTTTAGTTAAGAGGATCTACACTTAATACAATATCCTCAGAAAAATATCAAATAATTTAAAAATGATAATTAATTCAGAAAAAAAAAATGAGAAAAGAATGTGTCCTCTGATCAACCACATTAAAAAATCAAAATTGTCAGTACTGGAATTTAATCTATGGATCAGTCTATAGTATTGATTCGGACTAGTTTTAGTTCAGAGGATCTACACTTAATACAATATCCTCAGAAAAATATCAAATAATTTAAAAATGATAATTAATTTAGAAAAAAAAAGAATGTGAAAAATCACAAATATGGGTATCTTATATCAGATTACAAAGTACTCTGCAAATATTATAAGTTTTAATTTAAATAAAAGTATCACAAGTCAATAAAAATTAGGGTAATTGAAAATTAAATAAAGCATTATTCATTTTTTATAATTAAAATTGAAAAAGAAATAAGAGACAGTAAGTATAATTTTTAAAAAAAAATGAACATGGAAATATTATCAAACTAAATATTGTATTTCACCTGCACTATTAGTGATTTGGAAGGTTCAATCCATAAATCTGGTTGTTCTTTCCTGCCCCCTCCAATAATGAGGTTCTTTGGAGGTTTTTTTGGATCATATTTCTGCCAATGTTGTTCAATCTTTGCTGACAGTTCAAGGAGCTCCTTAAAGGTGTATCCAGAACCAACTTTTGCAAATGAATAATAGCATTTAGGTTCACTATCTGAAAAATAAGCACAGATACAAATAATATATATTTATTGTAGATAAAAAGATTAAAATGAATTTTGAATTTCAGCTTTTAAATATCTTTTATTTCAGTGCATATATTATAACAGGTTAAGTTTCATATACATGCATAAAGGGTGTCTTAAAATTCAGGCAAGATTTAATTTTAAGACACCCTTTATATCTTTTACAACATTTGGGCAATAAAATAATTCCATTGTAAAAGACAGTGTCTTATTACAAAACTTCATCTCACTTTCAAGACAACCTGCATACACTGAAAACTTAATAGAAATTGAATATACTAAATTAAATCCACTTCAACATTGATATTTTAATCAAAAATTTTTTTTTAAAAATATTAATTTGTTACTAATATTTTCTATTTTTCCTTTTTTTAAGCAAACCCTTTAAGTGAATTATACAAAATTAAACTGACTTATAGTTAAACTAAAAGTTATTAGATAATGTGAAAAAGAATCATTTCACATTTAAAGAACACAATTGGAAAGCCATAAATCAATATTTATTTTAAATTATGGCTATTTATTTTCATTGATTAGTTGTATGATACCTGATTGTTCATAAATTATTTGAAGCGATTCAAATGATTAAAAATACAGTTGAACCTCAATCAATCATTACTGCATTTTTCGTTTTCTGAATGTATCATCGGGTTTTAATAGTCTTGTCAGAAATGCTATTTTTATTAGTATTAACGATACTTATTTTGAGCATTTTTGAAACTAGTAGGTTTTCATATATATGTCATTCAAAAAATTCCACCGTCAATTAAAAAGAATATTACAGTTATTTGGTTATGAGTCTAAAAAACATAAACTCCAAATGCACATTTGTCCAAATGCATCCAAATGCACATGTCTAAACAGCACATTTGATGTTTATGCATCTGTTGAAAAAAAAAAGTTTACATTTTGTGTTGTTGGTTCAAGAAATCTTTGCAGAAATTAAAGGGCAGAGTGATTCTGATGCAGCCAACGAAACTGAACCAGATCCAATATGTGTGGAAGGGCTTGAAGCATTTAAAAAAATGAAGAGCTTTCTGCATTCACAATGTATTCAAATGAATTGTGAATTAAATTCCATCATTCTTTGCATCATAAATATTTTTCCATTAGGTGCATAATGATTTAAAATATTTTTTTTTCTTTATTGTAAATATATAAATTTTCAAGTCCTTTACATCTTTATTATTATTCATACATTTTGACGTAATCATTTAAAAAAATTTTTTGACTTGCATTTGTCAGTTTCTCGTATTTATTGTTCACAATAAACGGGCGCAATTGAACAGAAACAGTTGATTGAGGTTTTACTGTACTATAAATACCACTGAATATGTCATAATGAGAAAAAAACATAAGAAATCCAATTCATTAATTGTCGTTAAAAAGAAATCAAGCAAAAATTGGTGGACGATTTGTCTGCACATACATGACAATTTGCATCACCATCACTAATGTCAACTAATTTGAGAAGAATTTTTCCACTATACCTTTTTGCTCATTCGAAGCTACAGCAAGTAAAAAATGAGATATTATATTTGATCTGCGGCCTTCACCATAGTATCCTCCAATAATAAGAAGATCCAGTTCATTCATAAGGTTTTCAATGTATTCTGGTTTCACTTTCAGCCAACCACCTCCTTTTCTTATATTTGGCTTGTATACCGATTCAGGATTTTTTACAACAATTCCCTCAAGTCTACCATCAATAGCTTTGTTCAGTTCATCATTTACTTCAGTACTATAAACATTAAAAAATTATCATTAAACAATTTGAAAATGATAAATCAAATAGATATAAATATTTGTAACTTTTTTTCATCATTTGCTTACATTCTTTTTTTTCCTTTCAAACTAAAAACTAAACGCAGTGGCGCGACAGCCCATAGAGGGCCAAGGCCAACTGTGCCCATCTCAGTTTTCTTGACCTTGGGCTCTGGGGTGCAGGAGCAGATGTTCCGGTCAGGTGGTCAGCTGAACGCGGAACCCCCAGTGTTTAGTTCCCAAGCATGCTTGGTACTCATTTATCAACCCACTGAAGGGATGAAAGGCTGAGTCAACCTTGCCCGGACCGAGGAACGAACCCAGGACCTGTGGCGCAGGAGCGTGAAGCGCTACCACTCAGCCACCGGGCGTCTTTTTTCCCTTTTAGACTTTAAAAATTATCTAAGGCAAAACAAAGATGTAATTTTTTAAAGTATTTTCAAAATGTTCTTTTCACTATTTTAGAACAAAAATAAATGTCACATAAACTAATTATATTACTGTAGCTGATAAAATGAACGTTTAACAAGACCTAGCATGTAAAACTTACAGGCCTAGCATTAATTTTAACACAATAAAGCATTTAAAATCTTCATTAAGTTTATCTTTAAAATATTTTTAAAAACAATTCAGCAATGAAAATGTAACATTTTTATCGAATGTTAAGGTTCCAAATATATTTCAAAAGTTTTTACCAATTGTCACTTTTAAATAAGTTATATATAGACTGAAAATTGATTTTAAAGGAAAAAGTTTTCATATTAAATCACTAATATTTAGAAAGTCAACTTTAATAAACAAGGCATGGTCCTAAACATTATCTATGGTCAAAGAGATGGTGAAATATTAATTACTTTTAATTATTGAGAATTAGAAATGCCTATTGCTTTCTTGTGAGGAAATCAGAGTGTCTCCTATGCATTCATATTCTTTGTAAATTGCCAAATAAAGGGTACAATAAATTCATCCATCATATTTTCTTCATTTGAAAACTGTGAAAGTGCTATACACAACACTTCACTCTCTTTCTGTAAAGTATTATAATAAGTGGGGTTTTTCAGAGATTAAATATCTGGTAGTCACACTCATCTTAAGTTTTAATTTTTTGCATAGACTTAGCAGTTCTTTGGATATATGTTATTTAACAAGGTATGTAGCCAAATTTTTCAACAAAAAATAACATTCAAAAATATTTCTAAGCACTTTACAAGTATTCAAAAATATTTCTATGCATTTTACAAGTATTCAGAAATATTTTTAAGCACTTTACAAGCATTCCAAAATATTTCTAAGCACTTAAAAAAATATATTATAATTAGGCAGGGTCGGCAAGTTTTTGACAATTGACGGTTTTAACCATTATGCCAACAAAAAAAAAAAAACTTTTAGCATAGTTATTTTGGCATATGTGAAAACGTTGAATAGAACAATGTGAACAGTGTCTTTTTGCATAATTCATAGCGAAAATCGATAAAGAAAAATCTCAGTTTGAAAAAGGGAAAATTAAGCACTTTTTAAAAACATTTAATGAAAAAAGCACCTTTAAGGGCTTTTAAAATACGAATATAAGCACCTTTAAGTACTTTTTAAAAACGCGACCCACCCTGTTTAACAAATATGGAAACTGAGTGTTATGCCATATATGTTGAAAGTAACAAGCATTAGGGAAGTAGTTAAAAAAATTTTTTTTTCAAAGTCTTAGTAGGTTCTGAGTAAATATTTTCTTCACTTTTGTGTTCTTAAAATATAGAGACCTCCCATTATAATATCCATTTTTGTTTAGACCACTGAGGTTGTTATAACAAGCTACACATCATTTTTTGTAACAGAAAATGCATTTAATATAATAAATTACTAATATTCAACAAAATATTATTAAACATTCAAAGAGAATGATCTCTACATATAATACAGTAATATATAAAGTGTAAAGAGTTAATGGTTCATAAATGTCCACTTACTTAGTTGTTGCAATGATTTGATCAGTGTAACGAATTTTGTTTTCTATTTGGGAGAATGTGTCCTTAATGAAAGATACTCTTTCAGTTACAGGATAGTTTGTCAATACTTTATCATTCAGCATGAGAATGTCAAAAACGCAAAAACATGGAGCAAAATCCCCATCTGGCTCTAAAGCTTGTATATCTGCATTCTCCCCTTTAGAAACTATGAAGAAAAAAAAGGAAAATAATTTGCTAGTAATTAAAATTCATAAACATTTAGTAATTTTTTCTAAACCTCTTCAAGAAATAAAAGATACATTTATTAATACTATTTAATATCAAAAGATAAATAGTTTAAATATTGTTAGTTCCAAAATTGTTTTGATTGTTCCAAAATTGTTGACCAAAAATATTACCCATATACTTCCAAAGCAGATAAAAATAAATAGGAATTGTATGTATTGAATTATCGACTATGTCAACCTTCATCTATCAAAAGGTACCTCAAGATAGTATCAAGTTAACATGTCTTATATACTAGAGATTCGGTATTTAATATTTATAGTGGTAGTTATGCCACATTACATCCCCTTCCAGAATATCGTTTATTACTGGGAGACATTTACTTTGCCGGATCTTCTTTTTTTTCCCACTCCTTTGAGCAGTTTATATTAAGCAAATCAACTGTTTAATGTGGACCATCCATCATGTTAGCGAGTTCATATCATGTCAATTGATTTGCTTAAAAATATACTGCTCAAAGAAAGGGAAGAAAAAAATCCGGTGAAGTAAATAAAGTCTCCCGGTAATAAACAATATTGAAAAAGAAAAAAAAATATCGAAATGATATAAAAACAAGAAGGAAAAAAAATGAGCGAAATGCTATGAAGAAAAAATATAATGATCAAAATTGATATAAAAAAATAAACAGCATTAATCAAATAGTGGTAATCGTTCATCGAATTCTATCACAGATAAAATTCTGGAAGGGGAGTAATGTGGCATAACTACCACTATGAATATTATATACCAATTCCCCAGTATATAATGCATGTTAACTTCATTCTATCAAGAGGTACCTTTTGATGGATAAAGGTTGACATGGTCAATTTATAATCCCCACAGAATCAGATTTAAAAAATCAATTCTATGCTCAAATCCTATTTTTGTTTTATTTATAACTACTTAAAAATTCATGTTTAGATTAACTGATATCAGAGAATTTTGAATAAGAATATTAAAGGTCACAACACATATCAGTATTAAATGGATTATTCTTAACTACTTAAGTTAATATTTATGGATGCACATGATAGCAAAATTTTATTAAGGCATGTAAAAAAAGATACTGGTAAAGACAAAATTTTGAATAAAAAATTGCATGCATGTATTTTAATTTTGCTTGTATATATCCTATACGTATATATCCAAACTTTTGTATGTAATCCTATTTAATAGAGTTTATACAAATTTTATTCTTAATGGTATGATTGTGAGAGGTCAAATATAAGAAAAACTATTTAATAATCACCTTTTATTTGTTTCTTAATATATGTAAATTATATGTAAATTAATATAATTAAGAAACTATCTTACCAATACAATTCAGTTTATTGCTATAGATAACAATTTCGCCATCCAAAATACAGCTTTTAGTACTAGTCTTAAAACTATTGTGTATATGTGGAGTAAATTTTCCTTGTAAGGGAGAGCTTCCATAAGTGTCAGTACAATCAAAGCCACTAAAATAAACAGTAAAAATTTTTACATCAAAATGAAAATACATTTTAAAGCAAAGTATTAAAATAATTTATATAAAACATAAATATGGTATATAGTAATAGAGTTCGTAAATAAATATTTTACATAACTATTTCAGATATTGAGAAATTTTCTTATTTAATCATGTCCTTTTTTAATGAAACAAAAATCTGTGACAAATAGAGATCAAAAAGAAATTTAAGACTTTTAATTTTACAAACTGTATTAACTTAAGCATAATGACTGCAGTCTTTTCCAAGCTCAAAGCCATTTAGACCAGAACATAACATTTTTACTTCATGACTGACTTAAGAAACCAATTTCTGTCATAGACTTTGTCAGTACTCAATATAAAAAGGACATAAAATATAATTTTTTTTTCAAGATATAGCATATTCTGTTGTTTTACAAGTGATATTTTAAAATTATTTTGATAATAATCCTTTAAAAAATTCAAGAATAGAACAGAATTGTTCATTTGTGTGATACTTTTAACCATTATCAGCTTTATATCCTCTCAATTAATAAAGTTAAAAAAGTCGAACATGAGTAAAACACGTGAGAACTATTTCTTAGCTCTATTCTGGCAAAACAAAAGAATAAGAATCTCTTTTAGAAGTGTGTCAAAATAGTAATTTTCTCTGACTCAATAAGAATTAGTCTGTCCCACTCAAATAAAAAAATAAACCATTTTATCTGTAATCTAAATGATCTTCTGATATTTTTTATTTTATCTAAAAAGAAATAAGATCAGTAGATACTACAGAAGTGATCATGAATTACTCCCATTCAGGAGAAATTTACACAAACACTGTAAACAAGTCATCAGACTCTCAATAAAATTTAAAATTCTATCTACAACAGACATTTTTTTCGCTCCATCAAAAGCATATGTGTATTTTTTTAATCAAGAATTTGTGGCCATCCTTAATCATGTGCTTAAACATATAGAATAGAAGTTCCCAAATTATTTTAAATTGTGACCCCTTTTCAAGATTAGAAATTGTCTCATAGATCCNGCAAATGACGCAGGCGTAGCATCCCTGTGCTATACAACATTAATTCTTTACATACAATGTATGTTTCAGATGTGTAAGAATATTAAACAGAAATGATAAAATAAGGTGTTGAGAAAATAAGCATTTATAATATAATATATACTTAAGTCCTTTAAAGTATTTTAATTGAAATTTATAAGATAATAAGTAAAGCATTCCTGTAACAGCCTAGTATTGATCAGAGGGATCATCAAGGTTAAAACTCCTCAATTTTATGACCAATGGTATGATTATGCCATTAGTCATAAAATTGTTTATGGTATTAGATCAAAGGCATTGTGAATTAATTTAGTGAGAATGGCGAGCTTGCTGCTCATTACATAGCTTTTCAAAAGTGGAATATAGATGGTTACAGCTACTAGTATTTCTTTTACAAGTATCAATAGAACTAAGTATAAATAGATAATTTTGTAATTTCCCTAAAACAAACTATATAAATGGCATAACAATCAGAAAAAGTATGATTAAGAGTTCCAACAGTTTTTACACCTTACTTTCTTCCAATTTAATAAAATAAGAGAAAATAATACAAACCCTCTTGAGAAATACATATAAGATGTCCCATCTTTGTGTAATTGAAGTCTCTCACCATCATATTTTGTTTCTATGATAAAAGGTTTATTTTTCATCAATTGTTCAACCTAAATATAAATCTTTGTCATAAATACATTGCTTTTTGATATTAAATGTTATAAAGTTAAATTATTAAAGTATAGTATGCAATACTTAGATAATTGGTAACACTTAAATTAAAGTACAAAGAAAGTTTATTAATTAAAACTTACATCCACTAAAGATTTCCTTTTTAGGACTAACAACTGTTATTTTTCTCTTCTGGTAATAATAAGGTTTTAAAATAGAAGTGTATGGGCAGTGAACATAATATTTTGAATTATAAAATTAAATTTTTATAAATAAGTAACATATTTTATTTTTTCTTGAGAAAAATTCTTCCTTAAAATCAGTAAAATAAGGCTTTTTAAATTTCAGTAACAATAAAGCATAACAATATTTAAAAAAATTTTTTTTCTTTTTCATAAAACAAAATTGCTGAGAGCTACAAAAATTATGCTCTTATATAGCATATAAGCACAATTGAATTTGTAAATAAGAATAAGTGAGAAAAATTAAAACAAACCTAATCCAATAATTAATGTTAGAAAAAAGTTTTACTGCAGAGTAACATTTTTTATATGGGGATGAACTCTACATATGAATTTTTGAAAATATAATTTATTAAATGGCAATTACATCTTAATTAGGGCAGAAAGACAATTGCAAGTATTATAGTAAGCATGTAATATGTATAGTAAGCATGTATTTCAATAACTTTACTTTTCTAACGACTTTTATGTATTGTATGTTCAGAAGAAAAGTATAGGGAAATTGAAATATAATGGTTATTTTCTCTAATATAATAGGAATGTAGCGATATTTATAACAAAATTAATCTAAAACTGTGTTTGAGTTATTTGTGAATTTTATTTTTATAACAAAATTTTATTTTATTGAGCAGCTGACCAAATTTTGAGTTTATGACTACCAATGTTCAACTCTGCAGCCTTGTAGTTAGAACCCAATCCAGAAGACAAGAGAATTCTGGATCAAGTACTGGTAGAAATTTGCCCTCTTGGAAGACTTTTTGATGGAACTAAACCACATTTGTGTTACATAGAGAAACCACAAAAACCACCCACAGTTAGCTTGATGGCAAGGAGAAGCTAATCCATAATCTTCTATCACTGAGGATATTTAACATCAGCACTGTACAGGCCAACCATCGTTGGGATTCGAACCTGAGGCACCTTATTTTAGCACTCTATCCCCTGAGTCACCACGGCAGTTTATTTTATAGCATGTAACAGAGAATAATTTAAACATGCATTTACATCTAAGAGCCGAGTCCCCATTAAAATGTGGTGGAAGAAGTTCAAGCCCAATTTTGAGGGTGCTAATTTAACTGATATAAGTCAGACAGCTTAATTCAAATAAGTAAAAACAAAAGCATGCACTTTTCTCAGCATGATCACAGCATGAACTTTTTGATAAAACATCCAAAACAATAACATTTTCATAACACTTATCTAAAAATTATTTTAATTAGTGTATAAAAAAACCTGTAAAAATAGTTTTGCTCTTTTTAAATTTTCTGTAATAAAACAAAAACTTTAAATAGTAACTTTAAAAATAAAAAAATTTAAATGGCAACTTTAAAAATAAAAACTTTAAATGGCAAATTTCAAAGATTTTTTTAAAGTAATCCTTTTTAAATATAAATATTAAGTATGCAAAAATACATATTTTCTGAGCAAAAACTTTTATAAATCTGTAAAATTGAAAAAGAATTACAATGGAATAAACAATAAGACCAGTGAATAATTTTTAAACTATAAAAACCTTTACTACCTGATTAGGAAGAGCCATTTCTGATAACATTGGACGAAATGGAGCAAATAGGCTTACTTCAATTTCATGAAGATGAGTTTCAGGGTTTTTCAGACTAAGACAAACCTAAAAAAAAAATTTTGATATTTTTTATTTATTTTATTTTAAAAAAGGAGGAGTGTTTCAAAATTACAACAAATATTAAGAAATCTACAAAAGCAAGCAATAAGTGTGCAATTTACTATAAGAAATTTCAATTAAATGGACTAAAAATTAGTATAAAATAATTTAAGCTGGTATGTAAACTTTTTCCAAGAGTACTTTCGTAATGATGCAAAACAAAATTACATTTTAATATTTTCATCTTCCTCACTTATAGAAATGTCAATACTTCCAGCTAACTGTAGTTGAATAAGCTGGTTATTCTATTAAAAGGAAGTACATAAATGAAATTCAAGTAATATGATTTCAATAATTTTTGATTTAAAATGTTCATTCAATAAACTAACTTACATTTTCAATAAACTAACTACACATGACTTGAATGTTCTTTAATAATTTTATTATTAATATTAGAACTATAAGTGTCATATCATCAAAAACATAACTATTTAAAATTGAAATAAAGAATTAATACGAAAAAGTATACACACGATTAATATTCTATTTTCTCTTAAAAAACCTCAATTATTGAAGATAGTTTTGAAACATAATTGCTCAACCTCTTTTTGTGAATTATATAGAATGTTATAATCACTTTCTGAAAATATAGTGTTGCTAATGAATGAAAAACTTGGTCACAGTCAATTACATAACATCAATTTGGGGCAATAAATAGTGATCCTTATTCTATTGATTATTTTTATCTTCATTGATTGAAAACAGAAATTCGATTAGGTAAATGATAAAAAAAAAAATTACAAAGAAAATTTTTAATTTAGTACTTTTTTTACTAATCGATGATGTGCAACAAAACAAAATTGATTCAATAAGAAAATTTAACACTGTATATATAGTATAACTTTGAAAATCAAGAAATCTATGAAATAAGGTCATTAAAATCAAACATGTTGAAGAGCGATTACTTAAATGCACATGTTATAATTATTTTCCATTAAAACTATTATAATTTTAAAAAATGAGTAATATAAGTATCAACAAAAAAAAACTCTAAAAATAAGTGAAATTATGTTTTAATTATCTCAAACTAAGCGCATAAAAAAAAGTTAATCCAAAAGCGAGATTCGAAATTCATATGTCTTATCATATTAAAATATCTAGTTTTATAATAAGCAAATTCTTAAAGGGATTTCCAAAAAACGGCTGGAGAATCACATAGATTAACACTAAAGCCAAATACTATTTTTAAAAAAAATATTGGGCCTGCAACTTTCGCTTTCTATTGGCCTTAGTAAAATATCTAAAGCCCATATCTTCCCAAAAGGCATCCGAATTTTTTGCATAAAGCATGCCATTAAATAGGGTTCTATGTTGCATAAAAGAGTAATATTTAATAAAACATCAAAACATAAGTCTTAAGTTATAATTATATTAAATTTGAAGGAAAAAATAGCAAGTAATTCATACTTTTTCCAAACTGTTGGTAACATTGAACAAGTCTTTTGCATCTGCATGATAGGCTTTAAGTATGGAATTCTCACTTATCCCCAATTTCATTTCTTTCAGAATCATTCGAATCAACCACTTTTGTTCCAAGGCAGATGTGTTACGCAAAAGATAAAGCAAGTCATTCTTTAATTCATCTTTGGAAGAGAAAAAAGTAACATAAGAAATCAATAGATTAAGTAATCACATGAATATTCATAAGAATTATGATTTAAATAAATTCTTAGTAATTTTTTTTCTCAAAATTTAAGTAATATTTTTTTTTCTTCTTTTGTTTACTTTTTTCTTATTTGATTTGAAACTTTTTTCCTTTAAATGAGAACCACATGTTGAAAATGTGAAATTTATAATTTTTTTTTGAGAAACTTAATAGAAAGGAAAAGTAATACGATAATATATGTAAAGCAACCATATAAAAATTTCTAAGACTTGAACCCATTCTCTGTTTCAATGCTATTAAGCAACCATATGAAAATTTCTAAGACTTCAACCCCTTCCCTGTTTCAATGTTATTAAGCAACCATACGAAAATTTCTAAAACTTGAACCCCTTCCCTGCTTCAATGCTATTTGCTTTTCCATGTCTCTTTGCCAGTATGTAGGCTATCTCAGCTATTTATTAGCATGCAGGCTATCTCTGCTATTTATTAGCAGGCAGGCTATCTCTGCTATTCATTAGCATGTAGGTTATCTCTGCTATTTATCAGCATGCAGGCAAGATGGAGAATATTATGATGCATCAAAAACAGGGTCACAAATTGCATTATATTTATTTTTTTCAAAATTAAAATAATTTTTCTCATTTTTCCACCTTTTTCTAACATTAAATTATTTTACAATATTCTTTTATTTTAAGTAAGCTTTCAAAATTTGCAGTTCAACAATGTTTTCACAATCTGACAAATGAAATGAATTTGACATTTTTTTAATATGTATTAAGATAAAGGTAAGAAACTAGGCTATAAAGTAACTAATAAAACATTTAACTAATTATACTTTGCTTTATTTATAAATTTGAATGTAAAAACAGTTTAAAGATTGAATAAATAAATAAAAATATATAATTAGAGAATTGCATTACGAGAATTTTAAAAACTTAAAACATGTAAGACTAAGACACATTCATTTAAAATAAATAGACAAAGAAAAGATTCAAATGCAAATAAAAATAAACAAAAAATTAACGAAATTTGATACTTAACCTTTATGTTTTGAAGCATTGTTACTAGCAATATTATCCAAATATTGGTTGATATCAGATACTTTAAGAGAACCAACTTCAGGACTACGATTTTTTAAAACAAAAAAAGCAACACTAGCAAAATCCCCAGCTTCCTGTTCAAATGATAAAAAGATATAATTTTAATACAAAATCAACTAAAATAATTATGATAAAAAATATTTAATCCCGTTTTAATCAGCTAATCATTTCAACTTAACAAAAAGGTAATGGGTAGCATCTTTACTAAATCGATTGGTTGCTATTAGTAACTGATTGATGGATTTCTAATAGGCAAGGACAGGAAATAAAAGTCTGATTAGACATCTCTATAAAAAATATTTTTAATATAAAGTAGAAAAAAATTATTTATTTTCTGTTCAATTGGATTAATTTTCATAGTAAAACATTTAAGATACTTTAAAATATATGCACCTCTGATCAAATATAAAATATATTTATAAGAACTATAAAGATAAAAATTAGTTAAAAAAACATAATTTGAAAAATAACGAATGCATATTTGTAAATAAAAGAAATCAGGAGATAATCAGGAAAGATAATTTTAAAATATATGTAACTATGATTAAGTATAACATATATCTCTCAAAAAAATTATTATAATAAGAAATAATTAAAATAGATAAAAGTGTAAAATTGGGTTTTCATGATTGGGTATCTTGGAGCTTTTATAGTAAATAAAATTTTGCATTATCCTATTATCTCTACCTTGATTTCTAATTATTAGATGTTGCAGTTTCAGTAATTATTTTCTGTTTTCTGCAAGAACATAAAAATCTACAAAATAACAAGAGCTCCCGATTGTAAATTTTTACCATAAAAAAATAAATGAACATTCTTTCTAAATGCAATCTATATATTATATAGAAAAGAAATAAAAGTTACCTAGTTTCTTTTATTTAAAATGCAATACAATTTAAAAACTTTAAGTTTAAACAAATGAAAACAAATAAATAAATTATAAATATTATTTTTCAACAAATTAAGTTTTTTTTTAAATTACTTAACATTTTCTGAAAATAGAAATTATTTTCATAATAATTATAGAATACTTACAGCTTTTGCAGTTTTAGGAGAGCGATAGTTGATTAATTTCTGAGCATCTACACTATTTTTGTCCAGACAAAATATCTCTATCAATAGTTTTGCAAAAGTAAACTAAAAGAGAAATTTTATTTTTTGATACCATTTGTAAAATGATGTAATTATCAATTTCATTTAGAATAATTTTATTTTGAATTTCAATCTAAATCAAGAATACTGAGTCATTAGTTAATGCTTTTAGTTCTTTGTACGTAGAATAGGGAATAAAGTAAAGTAATAACAGATTTTCAGTGTACCAAGATTCACTTTGTTTAGTCAAAATCTTCCCTATTGGAAATTAAATTAACCACCAAATATCAATTATTTCAATCTGTGACGCAAAATTTAAAACCGAAAACTACAACTAATCATGGTGTAATATGAACCATATAGATTCGAGTAGGATGGAAATAAAGACACCATTCAAGCAGCATAAATATGAAATGTAACATCATATAAAAATTATTTAGTCACCGTGTCATAATGTAGTCCCAAAAAATAGATCAACAGAATCAAACAGGATAATGCAACTGAACTACCTCAATGAAATATTTAGTTAAAATGGTGTGTTTAACATTACAAAATTAAATAATGATAGCAGAAAAGTATCAATAATTTGAACATTTTATCAGTATTATGACATCATAAATAGAAGAAATAAAAACAATATAGAAATGTGTAGCAATAAAAAACCTAAAATGCAATAAACATAAGCTTGCAAACTTATAGTTAGGTATAATTGCAACACAGAAAAGCAAGGATTAGTATTATAACATCACAATAAAATATGATAATTTTTATGTGAAATTATATGGCCATGTAGTTATGTATCATAATATCATATTACAATACAAATTGTTTACTTTTTTGTGAATTTAAACTAAAACAAGACTTTAAAAATTCTATTAACACAGAAAAATCATAGCAGGACAATAGAAACAAAGAAAATATTTTTATCCATATTTTTTTTAAAATTTTTATTATGACAAACCAGAAAAACTTCAATTCAAATTTTTTAAAAAAGCATACTGATTTTAAAGAGCACTTTGGTTCCAGGAACCCTTATTAAATTATATAGTTAGCTCTCTTTTGAAACTATTCATTACAAATTTTGACCAAGTCTTACTTTTAATTTGAGCTTTCAGTATAGAATTTAATTGTAAAAACATTAACATCACAATTCTAAAAATAAATTACATTGCTGCAGTGTAAAAGAGAAGAAAAAAAATTTTTTTTTTAGCTGTCTGGTGGAAATTTAGTAGCCTTAGTAAATAGATTTTTAACACCGAAAGTTATCAATTATGATGAATTACATTAAGATATGTTTCCAATATTGTTTTATTTATTATTAAGCATCATAAATGTTATATTTAAAATGCGTAACAAAGAAACAAACATTGAGATAAGAGCTAGTAAATTACTTTTAAGGGAACATTAGCAAATTAAAACACGAATTTGAGGAAACTATAATTAATGTCTAGCATTTCTCAAATTCACAATTGAAGTTAAATAAATATATTAGTAAATAAAATGTACCTCTTTTATTCCATAGGCAGCTCTTTGTCTTTCACATTGAGGAAGTAAAAGACGCATTGCAGGATAAAATGAATCTGTCTGCAGATTTAAAATATAACAAATTATTATAATGACTGATAAACTAATATGAATACGAAAAAAGTAGTTTCATCAGTTTTTAGAAATAAATTGGACATCAAAAGAATAATTTTGATTTGTTCCTAAAATTTTTATTATTTTAAATTTTTAAAATATATTTACGGTTCATTCAAAAGGGAAATCTATGTATTCTATTGGATCTGTTTAATCCAATGTCCCTTCACGTTTTTTCATAAATAATAAGGGGGCAGAAGCAGAAATAGATTCTGCTTGATAAGCCATCTAAGTCAGACTTTTTTTAAAAAAATTTTCATGTTATTCACATTCAAACTGTACAATTCAACAACCAGGGCATAATAATATATTTTTTTTTTTAATCAGTGGTAAAGGTTGCTAGTGCAGAAAATACTAGTAGCAAAACCAGGGCTCATACCAGAATTTTTAAAGTGACATTGAAGCATTATTTTATGAAGCAGAAAATGCAAATCAATACTGTGTGACAAATTGCAATAAAAAATAGTTACTGAATGTGTAATTTAAATATTTATATTCATTACGAAGTTCAAATAACACTGTTTTATACTATTATTTTATAGTTATTATATAAATTATTTTAACATTTGACACATAACAGATTTGGCCCATTTTACAAATTGGAAGATTTTTACAACAAAAAGTGATTACTTAGAAAAAGTGATAAATAACGACCAAAAAAATTATAGGAAAAAACTATAACAGTGTGAATTTATGATGGAAATATTGCGAATTGTCCATGCGTCCGCAAGTGGTAACTCTAATTTGATATGCACAAGTCATAATAACACATTAAAAATATCCGAATTTCAAAGATCATTCGAGAAAGCATTAAAAACAAATTAGTAATTGTCAAAAAAATTATTGAAAATAAAGAGGGCTTACTGTGGGATCATCACAAACTGAGAAAGTTAAAAAAATGAATACTACACAAATATGAAACCATAATTCGAAAAGCCAAGTAGAAATGGCTGGGAAAATTATAAATAGCTGCCAAAAATGATTGTCGCAAAAAGACAATTCAGTCTCTAATGCAAGACCACAAAAGGTAACTGGCAATTTTTACAAATGCGCTTTTCTGTATCTAGTATATGAATTTTTATTAACTTGTAATTTGTTTCTTGTTAGTTGACAAAATTACCCCTTGTCCACAACATAAGTCTTTTTTCTCCAAATAAGTATTTTTTTTTTTTTTAATCAAAATCATGTAAATAAAAACCTTGATATTTCAAACAAAATAATTTTTCATTTATTTTGATCCAAATGCTTACTGAAAAGATTTATTGTCTTAATCTCTTTAATTATTACTAGCAAAAGTGCTTGCTTAATAAGAATCAGTAATGATTCTATATTTAAGAAATATTTTGGGATAGTTTTAGGTGTTCAGATACACTGCTTACTTTTCTGTAGCACATGAAATGAGATCAATGTTGAAAATTCAATGGGAGAGATGGATGTTTTTTAATGAAAACTAATCTTTAAAAAAAAAAAAAAAAAAGATTTCAAGGTTAGTATGCGTAATTCTACTTGTCTATAGATGAATGACTAAGACTTTTTTACTAGAAAGACTAATATAATTCCTTCCTTTTTTCTGATAAAGGTAGAAATAGATTAATATTATTATATTAATTACTTATAACAGTAATTTGCATAAGACAGAGTTCTCCGTAAGAATAAAAAGGAAAAGGCGCCTTCTCAGAGAAAAAGGCACTCATGTGTTCTGTGAAACAAATTTTTTTACCCTCGGGAAACAGTTTTAAACACTTTTCTTTATCTTGTTTACATGAAACATCTTTGTATTAAATTTTCACATTATCACCAAAAATTTAGTAAGTTTAAATTGTACTGTAAAAATTATAGTTGTTATTGCCGTAAATTGTTTGATTTTCACATATCATTACCTAAATAGAATCAATGAAGCTTGTTAAGATGGTAAACTTAAAAAATAATGTAAATGTTTTGATTAACAAACAGGAATTTAACACCTTACATTTGCAAAAAAAATACATTAAAAACAAATTGAGATTAGATTAATTGAAACTACATTCTTCATAAAGGAGAATAGTTTTATGATAGATAATAAGGTAGTTTTTAGAATAATAGGATTTCTTAGTATTATTTAGAATGAAAAAATATGAAATTAATATTTACTTTATAAGCAGTATGAAAGTAATAATTACTTCATTAGGATTGTTCTGATGTAATTTGTTATGAAATTTCCTCCAATAATCAATAAAGTCCTTCAACAATTGTACTTTATCCTTTCCTTTCTTCTCTGATATTTTATTACACAATTTACATAAGCTCAGAAAAGGAACTTCCTCAGCAACAGTAGGCATTTTTGATTAATTCTGTAATAAAAAATACATAAATTAACTCACACAAAAACGGTTTAATGAATGTATTATTTAACAATGGCTTGTAGAAAAGAAGAGCAACAGCCAATCCAGTCAACGACTTAAAAAAAGATTCATTTTGAAAAATTAGATCATTTTGCCAAAGAAAAAAATTTTTTAATTTAACTTATTTTCTACAAATAGCAAATATTAAAATAAAATAATTCAAAGCATATTAACTGAAATGGGAATATAAATTGGTAATTTTTTCAGTCCTATAAAGTAAAAGAATTGTTTAGTAATGAATAAAATCAGTTCTAAAATCATTTTTTAGTTTTAATAATTATGGTCATTAGATACCTTTACCTAGCATAATTGAAAAATAAAATTTACATAACAATAAAAAGTTATCTCAAATAGCAAACAGGTAACAACCAACTACGAAGTGATAATTCATAGATCAAAATTTAAAACAGTTATTTTCAACTTGAAATTGAACTTTTTGATCAGGAAATATTTAGTTCAAACAAATTAATTTATAAAGAATATTCTAAGACTTTTGAACAAATTTAATTACAGAGTTTAATAGATTAAAAATATTGAAGAACAAAATCATGATAGGAAATAATTTTTTACCATAAAAAAATTTCGATATAAATTTGAATATAACATAAATTTAAAATATCTATTTAGATTTCCGTGAATATTTCTCATGTAAGTGAGTGTTTCGTTTTTTCTTATATTTATTTATATAGGATTTTATTTACACCTTCTAGTCATTATAACCCTCTTTTCATAGACATATAACAAAGGAGTTTGATTCAAACAACCACACACATCTATAATTTGAAAACAAAGAAAATTTTAATTAACCATTATGTTGCTTAATTTACAATACTATTCACAGGGATATTTCCGTATCATGATCTGTCACGGCAACTACAATTGCCAAGGTGCCAAATGGATTTTAAACTTGTAAATTTAAACAAGGTAAAAAAAAATTTAAACAAGGTAAAAAAAACACGTAGATGTGTGCCCTGGGGTTGAGTTATACCTTTCGAGTTGGTCCCTTTCTGTGGTGTTTTTTTTTTTAGTTTCTCTCAGGCCACTGCCCGAAAGTTTCCAAGACTTGGCGATTATTCAGCCACAGATCACGATACGGAAATCTCTCCTAAATTTTTATCATAATAAATGTTAATACACATTATTTTGATATATATATATATATATTAATAAAACTTTCAACATACAAATATTATTTATTTACAATATATTAAATAATTATGTACAATAAAAACTAATAAATATACAAAAATTAAATTTTTAAGATGGAAACTAATGCACCATCAGTTATGAATTTTGCTTTACATTTTCACTGTTTTTAATTTGTGAGATTTCCATAACAGAGCTTTACGAGATTTAATTTTATAGTTGAAGCTAAGTGTTTCCCCAAACTAAAATTTAAAGGATAACAAAGAAAATTATTCTTCTGAGCATAGGCTTTGATGATTATAAAAAATGGTACTTGCAAAATTACTTGCTACTTCAGTACTTGGGGAGAAAATCCAACAATGAGTTTGAGCCAATAAGTAATAAAATATAGTTATTTAAGCTTCGAATTTCTAAGCAAATTATAATTATTTAAGCTTTGAAATAAAGAATAAAACCATCCCATGTAGTGTATGCTTTGAAGAAGATTAACAATTTTAGATTATTCAATTTTTTCTTGTTATGGTTTCATGTTTATTTTTGAGTCTCGTTTTGAGTGTAAATTCTCAAACGGTACAATCGGTTTCATGAGTTTAGAATCTTCCGTATATCTTTAGCAAAATGCAAAATAAACATAGATTCATTCTTCAACATTTACGAACGTACAGTATTTATTCGGAGCTGTTTTCAGACAGTTGCGAGTAAAACACAGTTAGCATTCTGCGACAGTTTGCTTTATGCGCGACATCTACTGTTGGTTACATTCATTATGGATGGTGTTTAAAACACTAGGGAACGCCAGGGCTAAGGGAACGCTTCAAGCTCGGTACCGCCGGGTACTGTTCCGGGTGCGAATTTTACAAAACATACCGTAGATTATAAACTAGGCGATTGCAAGTGAAATTGGCGATGGATTACGCGTAAATGTGGAGGGAGAACGAAATTACATTAACCTAAACAGTGAAATTCGATAGTTTTTTTCTCCTTCTCGACTAGCCATGATGAATAAAAATAACTCATTAATTCATTTTAGTAGAGAATTATAAGAGAAAATAACCTTTTTATTCTTAGGATCACGTTACAAATAAACTGTATTTATATTTTATTAAGCGCAATAATTTATATTTTATAAAACGATCTAGTTTTTTGATATAACAGATTTAATTTTTTAATTTTTTTTTACAAGAATTGTGTTTGTGAAGAAATAAAAATAATTTATTAATGAACCAATCACAAAAAATAACGTAACATTTTAATACTATGTTTTATTGAAACGCTATTTTGAAGAATTAATTCTATTTAACTTTTATTGTAAGAAAACATAACCTGTTTTA